GGGCAGGACCTGGGTGCTGCTGTGTGAACCAGGAAAATTCAGAGCAATGGGATGCCAATAGTATCCTAAAACATTCCTAAAAGAGATGCCAAGATTCACCAGTTATGGCTGTTTTCAACCCAAAGTCACAGATATCAGGTGGGGGTTCCTAACTGTTAGTTATAAGCATGAAATTCTGGGTGAAAATCTAGGCAGATACTGTACATGCAGCAGATACTTATGACCCTCTCTGTATGTGCAAACACTATTCAAAACTTTCCCTTTTCAGCACATTTCTAGCAAGAGTTTCAAAACTGAGTCAAGTTAGAATGTGTCTTCTTGAAAGCAAATTGTTACTACTGAAGATTTTAGCTTAAAAAACAGCCCACACCCATTAGCATCTTCTGCCTCTTTTGGAGAAAAGTTAATTTTCATAGGGAAAGGAGCCAGCACAATTAAATTAAGTTGTAGCAGAACTTGGAGCCCAAGCCCAGGACAGAGAGATTTATGAGGCTGGAGACTTTACGTCATTCCATTTGAAATAGGAATTGGGCTTGAAGATCAAACGGCACCTCAGCTGAACCAGCCTGTGGAGATCCAAGGAGATGGAAACCAGAGGGGTGAGCACACTTCTGGCTGGGGTGCCATCTCTGCCACGTCAGGATGTGGCATCAGTGGCCAAACACCCTGAGTTTCTAAGAGAAACGCAGATGAAGGCAGTAGCTAAAGATGAAAAAATTCTTTTAACCAAGCTCAGCTCTGCTGATTCTTTTTCCACTAAAATACGTTAATTGCTTGAAAACCTCTGTGATTACCCAGTGCCCGGGGTCTTTGCTGTTGTCACAAGGAGCCACCAGCTTCACGTGCGTCTCAGACTGTGCAGCTTGTTTCAAGTAAGAGAAAATCAGAGCCCTACAAGGATGGAGAGGAGGAAGGTCCAGCTCAGGGATGCTCACTATCCCAGGGCACACACCAGCACGGTGGATCCTGCCAAGCACTTCCCTGTTTCTCAAAATTTCTTTTAAAAAGCCTTAATGTTGCTTGGCAACAGGCAGATCCCATGGTGCCAGTGGCAGTCACAGCAGCTCCAGCCATGCCAGGGAGGCTTGTGGCACAGTCACAGTGCAGCCTGTCCCCAGTCTTTCCTTGACTCACCCAAAAATGGTCCCCAGGCTGACTGATGCTGAAGATGGTGGATTTTCCCCAGCAGAGCATCATTTGCGAGGCTCTGGGTGACAGTCCTTGAGGCAGCCAGACCCAGAGTGGCTTAACAGGCACCAGGGCCTGTTAAATAATGGATGTAAAATAGTAATATTATAGAGCTATAAATGCTGCAATGACATAGCGTGCAGGGCTGGTATCTGCCTCCCCACTGGAGGGGACTCAGAGGAGGATGCAAGCTCTCTTGTGATGTTCTTCGCAGGAGAAGCTGTCCAAACCAAGAGCTTCACATGATTCAGAGGGATGGGTTGTGTGCAGGGTTGTCCAGAGTTGCAGGAAGAACTGGCCATGCTCATCCTGCATCTGTGGGTTGGTGGGACTTGTGGCACCTCCCACCCACTCTGAGGTGAATGGTGTGTGGGATATACGGCTGATGCTCTCCTGGAGCCTGGCCACTGTGGGAAAGGGACAGCAGAGGAAACCAGCAGTTCTTCTAGTTCCACGCTACTGTCATGAGATGATGAGATCTGGGTTATTTGCTTCCTGCACCTGCAGTCAAGCAGTTGAACAGCCCCAGTGCATGGTGGGAAGATCACGTTCAGCATCATTTGATGCAGCAAGAGAAGCAGCAAGGGAAGCCACAACTCCAGAGCCCAGCTGCCAAAATGGCTCTTGGTGAGGTTTGCAGTGTTCTGCTGTTGACAGTTTCAGCAGGGTGAGGTGAGACTGATGCTTCTGCTTCTTCTCCCAACACATGATCCGTGATCCATATTCCAATCCTTGTGGAAATTAAACCTTGACCAGTGCCAGGGGAGCCTGAGCCCCATCACTGCTTGGGTGAGGGGATGCAGCTGCTTCCAACTGCCTTCCCAGGAGCTGGGATGGACAGAAAAGAATTTCTTTTGCCTGAAACTATACTAACACGAAAAGAGAGGAAAGAATAAGCACAGCTGCCTGTGAGAAGCTGCTGGTGAACACCAACACTCCACCATGCAACGCCTTTTCTCCCATGGGACTCCCTGGAAAGCCTCAGAGTAACCTGGAGAAGACGGAGAGGAGCAGATGCCCACAGCTGAACATACCTGTGTCGGGGGGGAAGGGGTTTGGAGCTGTCACTGTGCCCCTGCCCTGCTGGGATGGCCCAGGGGCGTGCGGGCTGCTGCCATTGCTCGTGGGACACGGGACCGGCCTCAGCTGCCCTGGCTCCAGGGGGTCGCAGAACTCAAAGGGGGCCCGACCAGCCTGCACGCCCTGCCCGCTGCCCATCGCTGCAGAGTCGTTCCATTGTGAGAGAAAAAAAGACAAAAAGCAAGAGTCAGAGCTCTCCCCAAGGCCCATTGCAAGATCCCCAGCACTCAGCAGATTCCTCGCCCTGCCAGGAAGGGAGCTGGCATTGGTAAGTTTGGAAGGCAAGAAGGGGGTTGTGTTAGGATGCTACCTTGCCTAAAGCTGGAAACTCAGTCCCATGTGGGACTCCTGGGGAAGTCACTCTGGGTGACAACTACTCCTGGGCACCAGCACAGCTCCCACACACTTTGCCACACAGTGTGAAGGGGATCCAGGAGACAAGCTGGCACCCAAAAAACAGTACCTGGAGCTCAGAATAATCAGCTGGGCATAAAAAATAATCAACTGGGTGTATGAAAGGTGAAAGGGAGGGGGGTTGTGTCCATCTAATCTATCTGGAGAGGTTTTAACCGTCACTCAAGGGAGTGTACCAGAAGCAGAGTGAATTACAGAAGCTGAGGGGCAGCTCCTTTGCAAGAGGTAGCCACATCATCCAGGCTTTGCTCCCTGTTGGGGTGACCCCAGCACAGAAGCCATGTCCTCCTTAAGTCTAGCAGCTGGAGAGGAACAATGCTCCCTGTGCCAGCTTCCTCCCTCTGCAGCTCTCATCTATCACCTGCTGGCTTTAAATCAATTAAACAATGTTGTTAGGCCTCACATTATTCTAATTTTTATTCAGGTAAGTCTTTGCATGTTCAGCTGCAGTTTGCCATCCGGAAGCATGTCTCAAATGATCACATTGAACAGAAAAATGAAGGTAAGAGGCAGCCTTGAAAGCAGGTGGCAACCAGCCGTAACTGTTGGCAACCCCTCTCCCAGCCAGCAGCACCTCTAAACCCTTGGGGACCAGCTTAATGGTGAGCTAAACCTATTGCCAGCACCTTCAGTAAGGCTCCTGGTGGAACGCCTGGGCAGTAGCTGCTATTTTATACGCTGTAGCCCAGGAGGGCAGCACTTGGCATTTCAAGCACTCACACTGCAGCCCCTGCTGCAACCAGGCTCGCCCTCCTCGTCTCTCTCTTTCAACTTTGATGCAGGACTCTTGGTCCTCTCAAGGCAATGAGCCCCACTCTTAATTATGTTGGAGCATTCCAAGCTCAAATCCAGGCTCGGCTGAGAATGGATTGAGAGGAGCCCTGAGGAGAAGGACTTGGGGGTGTTGGGTGATGAGAAGCTCACCATGAGCTGGCACCGTGTGCTGGCAGCCCGGAAACCAACTGTGTCCTGGGTTGCATCCCCAGCAGTGGGACCAGCAGGGCCAGGGAGGGGATTGTCCCCCTCTGCTCTGCTCTGGTGAGACTCCCTGCAGTGCTGGGTCCAGTGCTGGGGTCCCCAACACAAGGAGGACATGGAGCTGTTGAATTGAGTTGGGGTTGTTTGGCCTGGAGAAGAGAAGGCTCCAGGGAGACCTGAGAGCACCTTCCAGGACCTGAAGGGACTACAGGAAAGCTGGGGAGGGACTTCAGACAAGGGCATGGAGTGATGGGATGAGGGGGAACGGTTTCAAGCTGCAAGAGGGAAGATTGAGATGAGATCTGAGGAAGAAATTCTTTGCTGTGAGGGTGGTGAGACCCTGGCCCAGGTTGTCCAGAGCAGCTATGGCTGCCCCATCCCTGGCAGTGTTGAAGGCCAGGTTGGATGGGGCTTGAAGCAACCTGGTCTGGTGGGAGGTGTCCCTGCCCGGGGCAGGGGGTTGGGACTGGATGATCTTTATGGTCCCCTCCAACCCAAACCAGTCTGGGATTCTGGGATTACAAGTGTTCCTGCTGCTGAAGGTACCAACCATCTTAGCTCTGGGACAAGAAGGTCCTTGGCTTGAGTGATAAGCCTAATGATGAATTCAGCTTGGAGATGATGGGTGAATCAGTCCATGGCTCTAGCTACAGGGCTGACAGTTCCTGTTCACCTCCCAAGTGTTTCCCTGACAGAGGGGAGGTCCAGCACAGCTCCCCACTGCCTCCAGGTTCAACACAGCCATCACTCTTCACCCTTCCAGCATCCATCTCTGAGGCCCTTGCTCTTCCTTTCCTTCTTGTTGCTCTTCCTTCTGCTATGATGCTCCCACTTTTTAAAAGACTCTGCTTCTGCAACCTGAGTCCTCCCAAAATATCCAAGCCCTTAGCTGTCAGAACTGCCTTATGGGCTTCTCACTGGGCTGGAGCCCAAAACATCCTCATCTCCATTTGCTGAATAAGTAACAGGACAATTATCCCTCCCTTGGTAGGATACAGACCAGCAGTTAACTGGTTTATACTGGGCCCTTCCTTCCCTCTGCTCTAGAAGCTGCATTTCAGCATTCAAGACTCAGTGTGATTTGCAGCAGCAGCGATATGGGGGATGTGACGGGTAATTCTAAACAGGAAAAATCAAGTGTAGGAGGGGAAAAGCCCCACGGGGTCAGAACAGGCTCTTGCTCATTGCCAGAACCACAGGGGACAGGCCAGCACTCCCTGTGCTGTAGGGCTTGGGGCTGGCACAGGGACATCCATCACAGCAAGGGATGGGATGGGCTCTGACTTAGCACTTGGAGATGGCAAGAGCTGCTGGGTGCAGTTCTGTGGGAAAATTTATGTTGGGATTGGTAAAAAATTGCTTTCCCCATGGAAGATGGGGACAGTTTTCTGGGAACAGCTGTGCCTCTGTTACTGCTCAGCTGGGGGAAGCCCACACTGAGAAGTCCCAGCTTGAGCCTCTGGCCATGGAGTCCATGCACACCTTTGCTGCATAACACCCTGAATTTTGCCTGCGGGCTCCTTCAGGAGAAAAATCCTAATTTTTATTTTGGTAAAATGTCTCACTGTGGAGAAAATTCAGGTGTTTGGTTTTTTTTCATTTTTGCTGTTGCCTAATAAAAAGCTCCTGATGCTGCACCTGAGCGCATCAAGTCTTGCACCAGCCCGCAAAGCCCAGGTCCCTCCAAGTATCCCTGCAGCTGGATCCAGGCTGGCGGGCACCAAGCAGAGACCCTTCCCCTCCCACCCCTGGGCAGGGACACGGTCTGGGGGTGAGCACTGGTGTTCCCCAGGGCTGGACACGTACGGGTGAGTCCCGCGGGGGCTCTGGCGGCGGCGCTGGGCGGCAGGGGGGCTGGGAGCATCTCTGCTTTGACGGCCACGCCGCCCTCGCTCCTCTCCGGTCCGCACAAGCCAGGCAGCTGAGCCGCCTTCTCCAGCGAGGGCAGGAGCTGGTCCAGCTGCTCCAGTTCGGCAGCAAACTAAGGAAGGAAAGAAAGAAAACACAAACCCAACAAAAATCACAGGTGGGTGACTCAGCCCAAACACAGCACCAGCAAGAGCGAGCGCTGTTTTTGCATCCATGTATCCCCCTCCAGCTCTCCCCATCCCTTTGCTTGCTGAAACACCCAGCACGTCACAGGGATACAGAACCAGCCCTGCATCCTTCTGCTCAGCTGGACACAGACCCTGGGGGACAAGAACTGTTTCTCCATGCTCACAGGTCCCCACCCCAGAGCCCAGCCCTCGGCAGCAGCTTCAAGACACTCACACACTGCAATTAGCATAATTACTAATGATATATATAACCTCCAGCAGTTTTAAACAGAAGATAATTTGCTTTGTTAATACACATATGCTTACACTGAGATTATATTAATAAAAAAATGGTCTTTTCTAAGAAAAATAAGTGACTTTTTTTTGAAAAAATGTCCAAAACCAACACTGGCCTGAGGCATGTAATTACCCTCAATGAAGTAGTAGAAAATCATTCAGCTTTTCCAGCCTTCAACATAGCTGAGAATGGAAGAGGAGATGTTTAAGCCCAGGGACCCAAATAAATGGGAAAGTTACTGGGAAAGGGATTTGCACCAGTGGCTGTGATAGCAGGGCTGTAAAGCAACAGGTTAGGATTAAAGGGGCTGGAGATAAATGAGCTCTGGCTAAAAAGAAAAATATCTCAAGGGAAACCAAATACTTGAACATGGAAGTACTCAGATGGCTTCCAGCAGAGCAACATTCGGGAAAGCCTGGTTGTTAACACAGGGTAATTAATAGATAACTTGATAGAACTAGGGAAAATCTTTGCATTTGATAAAGGGAATGATGCTCTGGTCTGCAGAACATGAAGAAATCTAGCAGGAATTGGGATCCTGGCTTAGACAAGAGGCTCTGCCACCAGCCAAGACATGAGGCTGCAGCATTCCCATAGCAAACAGCACTGAGGGGTGGAAACTACCCACCAGGATCTGGCCCTTTGCAGTGTTAAAGACCTTTCACCAAGGTGACAGCTTTGTCCCTCACCACAAGAAACCATGGGAAGTGCCCCTAAATCCCAGCTGGAAATATTTCACGTCTTAGCTAAAATCCTCCAAACCAGTGGCAATTCCAGTTGCTACAGCAGCTATGTCCAGTTTCACATCTACAATGCACACACCATGAGGACAAAGTCCAGGGCAGCTGCAGGAAGCTCCACCTTGGGATAGACGCTCCAACAATGGCAGTTTCATTGAAACCATGTGCCCAGTCCTGCATCCAAGACCTAGGAGGCCTTGCTCATTCTTCCCACCATGGCAGAGATCTCCTTCCTGACCTTCACTGCTTTTTTCCTCCCCTTTCCTACAGTCACATGGTCACACCTGGGCAGATGAATTGATATTTCTAATATACACATGCCTGTTTTTCCCTTACAGTGAATTGGAAGGGACCTTTAAAGGTGACCTAGTCAATACATCACCTCAACTCTACGTCCTCCTGCAGAGAGGTCATTCTGGAGGCAGAGGGAGAAGAAGGGCACAGAGGCAGCCGTGGGCATCCAAAATGGATATTAAGTGGAGATAAAATGGGAGCAGTGAAGTTCTTGCATTGCTCGTTGGATACATGAAGAGGTGGAGGATGGAGAGGCTGGAATGATGGACATATGGTAGGAGCGGGGGGCTTATCAGTTGTTTTCTGGAGCACCCAAACTTGGACCTAGAATCTGTGCCCACTTTAATGGGTATTTTATTTTCCCTCCACCTCTAGAAAACGCACAGTGCTGGAGGGCTGGAGCAGTTCAGGCCTTCCAGTCTTGCCTTCCAGTCAGAGAAGGTTCAGATCTTCACAACCTACTACTGTCAAAAAAACTGGTGAGAAAACCCTCTGTGAGAGAGATGGAGACACAAGGTGGCTGATTATTTCTGAACAGCTTCTTCTTCCCCAAACCTCCATCTCTCAGCAGAAACAAGGCTCCAAAACTAGAGTCAACCAAAACAGAAACCAAGGGACAGGATCTCACCTCTGCCCTGCATCCTTTGCCAAGCCCCACACATGAAATCAGCTCAGTGAGGAGGGCAGAGATGCTTCACACACAGAATTGTCAAGGTTGGAAAGGACCTCTGAAATCACCGAGTCCAACCATCAACACACAGAAACCCCCCAGAACCCTGGCTGCTAGAGCATGCCCTGAAGTACCACATCTACACACTTCTTGAATACCTTCAGGGATGGTGACTCCACCACCTCCCTGGGCAGGCTGTTCCAGTGCCTGACCACTCTTTCAGTATAGAAATTCTTCCTAATAGCCAATCTAAACCTCCCCTGCTGCAACTTCAGGCCATTTTCTCTGCTGCCTACCCAGCCAATCTTCAGCCCTGGCTGGACCTTCCCATGGAGTGGAGGAACTTCTCCTCCAAAGCCACTTGGGTAATGAAATTCTTGTACAAATTAAATAATCCCACAATTTTATGCAAACTTCAGATCATTTGCATTTTAGTGGAGCTCTGCTTCCTGGAGGCAGCTATTTCCATAGGGATCTCCAGCTCTCTGTCATCACTCCTTTCTTCTCTACCAGAAAAGAATTCTACCCTGCTCACAAAAAGAAGCTGAAATGTAGATTCAGAAGCCAAAAAGCAAACAAGAAATAAGGTAAAAATTTATTTTTCATGGAATCACAGAATGGTTTGGGTTGGAAGAGACTTTCAAAGACCATCCAGTCCAACTCCCTGCCATGGGCAGAGACATCTTCAATTAGATCAGGTTTCTCAAAGCCCTGTGAACCTGACCTTGAAGACTTTCATGATGAGGCATCCATTACTTCTCTTTGAACTCCAACATCCACACATGGTGGAGCACTCCCAAGTGCAGGCAGCACTGCCTGCTCCCTGCATCCTGCTCAAGGGGAGACATTCTGACATGAGGAAAGTTTTCTCTTCACCAAGTTGAAGTTCAGCTCATGCCTTGAAGCACCAGGATAAAGAGCCCTTCCAAAACCTTCCTTATCTTTTTTCTTAAATTTTTAAAAATTCCTGCAATTTCTATTAGCTCTTTCCCAAGCTCTACACAATTTATTATTTTGTTGTTGTTGTTGTCACCCCAGGAACAGGTAACTCCAAGCAAACCCAGAGCATTTCCATAGAATAAATCCAGAAAGGAACTAATTCCCTCAAGGCTGAAGGGGAGCTTCAGAGCCTGCCTCACAATTAATGTCACTCCTAATTGACATTTTGATTCTTAAAATAATCCCACATGAAAACAAAAATCTACCAAGTGCTGGATTTTATTGGGAATGGCAGCTCCCCCCTCTCCACACCACACCAGAGCAGCCTGTAAGAGAAAACACATGGAAATGAAACTCTGTCCTTAGCTGCTGAGCACTGAAGGGTTGTTCACTCCTCAGAAAATCCATTTTAAGACTCTGCAAACTCTCTCTAGTCTCTTTTATTAACTCTTTGGAAACACTCGGTAATGTCCAGTGCATAATCCTGACACTCTCCAGCTGCCTGGGGAGGGATACTTGGAACTGAAAAGCCATGAAGGAGCCTAAAACATGCTTGGCTGCTTCCAAGAGTGCAGGAGAGGGGCTTATAAACACATCCAGGCTCGAGTCCTCCAAGCTCTGGGTGCCTGTTTGCAAGCAGAGCACAACTAGCTTGCACTCCCTTGTTTAATTCATAGGGCTCCACCCTCTCTGAAGGATGGTGAAACTGGAACCATCAGTGATGCTGACCATAACACTGTGGTGACACACTGGAGGGAAGGGATGGCATTCAGAGGCACCTGGGCAGGCTGGAGAGGTGGATCCACGCCAGCCTCAGGAAGGTCAACAAGGCCAAGTGCAAGGACCTGCACAGGGACCAGGGCAATCCCAAGCACAAATTCAGGCTGGGCAGAGAATGGATGGAGGCAGCCCTGAGGAGACAGACTTGAGGATGTTTGGTGATGAGAAGCTCACCATGAGCTGGCACTGTGTGCTGGCAGCCCAGAAACCGTGTCATGGGCTGCATCCCCAGAAGTGTGATCATCAGTGCCAGGTGGGGGATTGTCCCCTTCTGCTTTGCTGAGACCCCAGTAGTGGGGTTCCCAGCACAAGAAGAACATGGAGCTGTTGGGGCAAGTCCAGAGGAGGCCACAGAGATGATGCGAGGGCTGGAGCAGCTCTGCTCTGGAGACAGGCTGGGAGAGGTGGGGTTGTTCAGCCTGGAGAAGAGAAGGCTCCAAGGAGACCTTAGAGCACCTTCCAGGACCTGAGGGGGATACAGAAAAGCTGTGGAGGGAGTTTTGACAAGGGCAGGGAGTGATGGGATGAGGGGGAATGGTTTCAAGCTGCAAGAGGAGAGATTGAGATGAGAAATTACAAAGAGATTCTTCACTATGACTGTGGTGAGACACTGGCCCAGGTTGTCCAAAGCAGCTGTGGCTGCCGCATCCCTGGAAGTGTTGAAAGCCAGGTTGGATGGGGCCTGGAGCAACCTGGTCTAGTCGGAGGTGTCCCTGCCCATGGCAGGTGTTTAGGACTGGGTGATCTTTAAGGTCCCTTCCAACCCAAGCCATTTTATCATTCTATGATGGGCAGCAAAGTGTCTGCCTGCTTCCCCTACTGGTGAGTGAATCCTGTACATGGATATGTGGAGACCAGGAAAGCAAAGCTCTTCCCATGCCCCAGCACTTTGCCAGCAACCACGCTCCCCAAAGCACTCCTGGCAGGATGCTGCACCTTCCACCGCAGCATCGCAGCGGGTACATGGCTCTGTGACAGGTTCACTGCACACCTGTGAGCTCCAATGTGTCTCCCAAAACAAACACATCTTGCCTTGGGTCTTCCTCATGCAGAGCAACATCACTCTCAATGATGGATCCCAAATGGGAGATGATGGGGGAGAACAAAACATCCAGCAAGTTGATGACCCCACAAAAGTACAACACAAGGCGAGATCAAGAGCTTGATTCCTGCTTGCCTCTGGGTAACTGGCCGTGACTCCCAAGCCAACTGAGCACTTAACCTTATTAAGAGACTTATTGTGCCACTGGCATCCCAGGCTCTCCAGGCACTCTTATCCAGCCCATATCTCCCGGAGCCGGCAGCCTGATTTCCCGCAGCCCGTACGCGCTCAGCCCGGCTCCTCGTGTCAGCCGCCCTCTTCTCTTTGCTTAAAAAGGATTAAGCAGCCTTATCCGTGGCACCATCTCCCCTGGCTTTCAAAAATAAGAAATCTCTTCTATTCATAGCTGTGTGTAATGAATATTTATACGCCCAAATCTCTGTTGCAGAGATCTGTCATTGGATTATTCCATTTAATAATACTTTTAGGAGAAGTAAAAGGCCCGTATTATTGCTAATCTCAGCCAACAAGAGACCAAGGGACTGAAAATTCCCTGGGACATGAGCCCTGAATGTGCCCAGAGATGCAGAAATAAGAACCTATTCACATGGCAACATGCGTATCATCTTCTCCTCGCCCAAGCCCACCACCTGCAGTGATGTGCTGCATTTCTTTCTCATGTTTATACACCTCAGTAAAGTTTCTCCCTTCCCTTCCCATCGCTGCCTTGAAGATCTGAGCTGCCAAAACATGAACATGTGGACAAACACTGGAGGAGGTGGCACCAGCACTGCAGAATGTGGCACCAGGGCAGAAGGTTGTGGCAGGCATAGGACATCTCCCCATACTTCTCCCAGGCCCACCACCTTGCCATGGAGGGAGCACGCCAGCAGGTTTTGGGGAAACAGACACAAAACCACAGCTTGTCAAGAACATCCCACCAGTGTGGACACAGATGGGTCAACTCACCTGGCCCTGTGTCTCTAGCTTGACTTCCTCCGTGGCAGGCGGCTTGGCGAGCGGCACCGGGGCCGTGTTACAGGGCTCCATCTGCTCCGTCTTCTCCACCTTCACCTTCACGTCGTCCAGGCTCAGCGCCGGGGCTGCCGCCAGCTCCTTCTCGTCCTTGTCCAGCAGATAGCGCAGGAGCTGGTGGTCCTTGGCATCTTTCTTCTTGAGCGCGTCCGGCTCCAGTTTGATGTCGGGGTTTCCCGGCAGCTGGCTCTGAGCCGTGGGGGTGGGGTTCGGGGCATTCTCCTTCTTCTCATGCTCCATGGCCAAGGTGGTAATATCGGATGGGCTGCCCTCCTGGAGGAGTCTATGCAAAATCTTGTGCCGCTCGGTCAGCGAGCTGTGGGAGGAGGGGCAGGTGCTGCTGGGAGGGTTGCTGGAGGCCAAAGTGCCAGCGGTGCCGGCGCAGGCCAACACGTCTTTGGAGCTGGTGTCTGCATCGGCGTGCCGGAGCTGCTGCTCCGCCGTGGTGGCCAGGAGCTGGACAAATAGGACATCTCCCCATACTTCTCCCAGGCCCACCACCTTGCCATGGAGGGAGCACGCCAGCAGGTTTTGGGGAAACAGACACAAAACCACAGCTTGTCAAGAACATCCCACCAGTGTGGACACAGATGGGTCAACTCACCTGGCCCTGTGTCTCTAGCTTGACTTCCTCCGTGGCAGGCGGCTTGGCGAGCGGCACCGGGGCCGTGTTACAGGGCTCCATCTGCTCCGTCTTCTCCACCTTCACCTTCACGTCGTCCAGGCTCAGCGCCGGGGCTGCCGCCAGCTCCTTCTCGTCCTTGTCCAGCAGATAGCGCAGGAGCTGGTGGTCCTTGGCATCTTTCTTCTTGAGCGCGTCCGGCTCCAGTTTGATGTCGGGGTTTCCCGGCAGCTGGCTCTGAGCCGTGGGGGTGGGGTTCGGGGCATTCTCCTTCTTCTCATGCTCCATGGCCAAGGTGGTAATATCGGATGGGCTGCCCTCCTGGAGGAGTCTATGCAAAATCTTGTGCCGCTCGGTCAGCGAGCTGTGGGAGGAGGGGCAGGTGCTGCTGGGAGGGTTGCTGGAGGCCAAAGTGCCAGCGGTGCCGGCGCAGGCCAACACGTCTTTGGAGCTGGTGTCTGCATCGGCGTGCCGGAGCTGCTGCTCCGCCGTGGT